TTCCACCTTCCTCTCAGCTGCACCAAGTGGCCATGGTGATATCTTGGCATGGGGGTGCAGGATGGCTCGTACTGGAGTGAGATTCAGAGAACAATTTGATTTTTCAAATCCCAAAACCACCTGCGAGGAAATTCTTATCCAGTGTCTGTGCTCGGAGCCTAAACCTGGGCATACCCATTGACATCTTTCACATGCCCTCTTCTTAGGTTTTGCTTTTCACATTAATGTCCAGCTCAGCAATGTTATCTGCTGACTGCATTTCCACCACTAAGTACTGAAATGTAATAGTCATGGGCTGATACATTCTAAGACATGCTGCGAGCTAAGTGATGAGTGAAAAATGTCCATAGCTGTTTTTGAGGAAAACAGCTTGGTTCCTTTCAGCCTGTTTCAACAGATCTGGCAAATTCAGCTGATAACTTTAGCAACCACAGTGTCAATGCAAGGATGTAAAAAACTAATTTTTGACACATTATGGTACTAATGAAGAGACCAGTTAACTTAGGTGCTGTGACATCTTGAAGGACTAGTGAAGCCAACCTTTTAGCAATGGCTAATCACTATGCTCACAAGATATTAGATCATCTACTTGATTTCAGGGGAGACAATTTGTCTCAAAGTTTGCCATCCGCGCAGGATTTCTGCACCTGATAGTAATTTTTAACTACAAAGTTATGGCTTGATTTTCAGCAGGAGCTACTGATCACTATTGGTAATTCCCAGGCAAAAAGTTTTCAGGCTAGTATTAATGTAACATAGTGTGGTCAACAGTGAATTAAGTTCAAAGAGCATTTCACCATCTCCAAGTGGTGGACTTTCTTACACATCTGAAATAAGAGTTGTCACTGTTAGCCAAGTACTGACAAAATGAACGATCTTTTGATTTCTCATAGAAAGAAACAGAGAAGTCTGGTACATGTCTGAAACGTGCACCACAGACTGTAACTTTCCAAGTCAGAAAGGTTCATGATACTGATGTGGCAGATGAGCCGCACTAGCCAGCAGCAAATAGTTATCCACGGCAAAGGAAGGAAGAACCTGAAGTGCTGGGATGGGCTGGCAGATAGATAAATGTCCAAGAAATATCAGTGCATTTGCTGCCAAGGCAAAAATGGTTGGCAGTCAGAGTCGGAAGTATCAGATAGTTCTAGTTAGAAGATGAAAAGTAATTTTCAGTTGTTAAGTCAGTTAAAAGTTCATACAAGCATTTGGGCTGAAACCTGGGACAGAAATTCAGCTCTAAGTGATGACTATAATCCAGACCTTGAAGTCACTGGGGTCTTGGTCTTCATGAGTGTGCATTTCCCACCTCGAAGGCTGTCCCACAGGAGAAGGGAAGTGCCACAATTTTTAGTCTGAGATTGATTCTTTAGGAGGCAGCACTTTTTAGTTTTTAGTCACTCAGTCACTAAAGTACCAATACACTGAAAGTGTGAGAATTTCAAATTAAATTTACTGCTGTCAATTTTTAAGTTTTCTTTTAACCATGCACATTTTGAATACTATGCATTAGAGCATGATAAAATTTACTTGAAAATGGTTATCTTTACAGAAGTAAAGATAGTTATTAAGTTGGTAATAAAACTCCAATTGCTAATCACAGCAGATATACCCCTTCAGCTTCTGTGAAAACCATAACTCAATCTGCATACAGTTTCACCTAGCTCGAATTTCCACCCCATTCTGCAGACCAGCATTCACTAAATTCGTTTCCAGCAGGACTGTCAGTGATTGCTCTCTTTAATGCTGGAGGACAATGGAACTTAGATGAGATAGGAAATAACTATAAATGTTAATTATCTTGCTGCAAATGGGAAACCAGATGATATCTGGTTATTGCAAACAGGAAAAAAGTATGAGAGCTACTTAGCTTATAAATACCAGATATATACATCAGGAGGAAGCTGACGGGTTAGGAAAAGACAAATGCAGCTCTGTACTAACAAGGGAGAGAGAGAAATAGAAAGAGAGTATCTGAAATTGTTCACAGAAGGGCTATTTTTCTATCAGAAAATTTGTATTTCCCTCTGTATCAGACAGATTATAGAATCACAAATTGTTGAGTGGCTGAGATGAGTAGGGCCTTCTGAATCCATCAGCTCCAGCCCCTGCCCAAGCAGGGACAGCCAGAGCAGGATGACCAGGATCACATCCAGACAGTTGTCAAGGATCTCCAAGGAGGAGACTCCACAACCTCTGGACACCTTGTGCCAGTGCTCTGTCATTCACACAGCACAGAAGTGCTGCCTGGTGTTCAGAGGAAACCTCCTGTTTTTCAGTTTGTGCTTGTTGCCTCTTGTCCTGATACTGGACACCACCAGAATAAGCCTGGCTCTGTTCTCTGCACTGTTGCATCAGGAGTTTGTATGCTCGGACCAAAGATCCTCCTGTTAATGCTCTTCTCCAGGCTGAAAAGTCCTGGCTTTCTCAGCTTCTCCTCATAGGAGAGATGCTCCAGGCCCTTCACTATCTTGGTGGCCCTGCATTGTCCTCTTTCCAGTATGTCCATGTCTCTCCTGTAATCTGGGCTTCCCAGATCTGGACGCAGTGCTCCAGGTATGACCTCCCCAGTGCTAAGTAGGGGTAAAGATCACACCCTTGGACAGCTGGTGATTAAGGGGTGTGCACTATGTGATATGGGGTCACACAAGCAGCATCAAAAAAAATTACGGAGTCAAAGCAAAACTGATCTGTACAACAGATTTGAAGCTCTCTGACAAACAAAACAGTGTTAAAGTGTGTTTGTGTGTGATGCATTCAAGTGTGTACAAGCACGCTCATGTGTGTTCGGGTCTGTAGTGTGCTCACGAATGCATGAGTGTAGCATGTGCATGTTTGTTCAAGTATGTGTTCACACATCTGCCTTGATTTATACACAGTCACAGTTTTCCTGATTTTCTTTGCTACAATAAAACCAAAAGACTAGGACCACCATGGCAATGTGGCAAAATGCAAACCATCAGCCCCACATATTTCCCCAGAGCACCATAGAAAAGCCTTCGGCCGTATCCTGCAAACATTTATGCACAAGCTGAACTTCATGTACTGTGATTAATTTCCCTGACACCATGTGGGTTTCATTGCAGCACACAAAACCAAACACAGACTTATATACTTTTAGGATCAGGACCTACTTAGTGCTACTCAGCTGTGATTTACTGCATCTGTACTTAATGTGCAGCTTACTAAATGTGAGATAATTCTGTGTTTTCATATAGTTTTTGTGTATTTTTCTCCAGAACAGCATGTATGTTGCTTCAACATTAATGTTGAAAGTGAAATACTCCATAGTCACTAATGTTTATTTAAACAATTATAATGCTGTCTAATGCGGCTGGGAACGGAGGTACAGTAGCCTCATATTTAGAAGCATGGCCTTTTATATAACATTAGAGAGCTCTAGTGGGCACGTTGCCCATTTCTAATTCTCTAGTGGCTTCTATTTTTCACAGGAATTAATGTTCTAATCACAATGCATCTTTATAACATTTTCCTTGTGCTGATCAAGTATCAGCAAATCAGTGATTATTTAATACATCCTCCCACATATACTAGGCTATTCAAATATCCTCTGGTAGAAGAGATAATGGAGCACTTCTAATCATAAAATAGTGTCACATATGTAAAAATCATAGTGCAGGAGAACATCGGAAATGTATAATAAAAGCAGAAAAATCCCTTCTCTTGAATGGCAGTAGCATTTTTGTTTGGATTTTTCTTAGTGCAGCAATCATGATGTGGATGAGTATCAACGTTTGGAAGGTAAGTAGGTAGTCCAGTATCAGACTTTACAACCTTAGATGTAAAGCACATACATATGCATGCACACACCCATGCACAGGTCAAGAAAGACTGCTATTACAGCATTTAAGCTTTGCAAAGTTGAAGACAAAGGTCAGTGACCTTTGCTTATGACCATATGACCTAGGCAGGCAAGCCCTAAACAACAGCTCGTGCTTTGAAGCAGTATTATTCCAGGTAGGACAGAGATAGGTGGTAGTATCCCTTAGTTGCACACCCAATGCTCATCAGCTGCACGGGGAATCTCTGGAGTGAATTCTCAGAGAGACATATTGGACTTCCAGGGAAACTGTATATACATTCCCACCAAAAGAACAAACAAACGAACAAACAAACAAACAAACAAAAAAAAAAAAAACGGAGGCAAAAAGATGGCTGAAACACTTAAAGACCTAAATGTATTCATGAAAAATATAAAGTACTACAGCTGCTATTAATCACAATACCATTTAGGTATTTTTTCAGTTTTTTCACTGCTAATAGCTGGTTCAAAAACCAACATTTTACATGTCCAATTCTATAGCTTGTCATAGGTTTGAAGAGCAGTAGCTGAAGTTAGGGATACTCTTTTTTAGCTATGTGGAGTTAATTATTTTTAACTCTTCATGTTATTTTACATTTCGTCTTCTAACTGAGCATGAAATAATTTGTATGTGACATTTATTGTCCACTAAGGAACTTCATCCTCTTTTTAAAAATATTTAATGTCTTTTCCAGCTACAGAGGTTGAACTGTACAGCTAAATTAAAATAATGGATTTTTTAACCCTTATTGATTCTTAAAACTTTGCAAATTCTTAGATTTCAAAATCAGGTTATGTTCCTTACCAAAACAAAAGCAGTGAATATGTAACAATACTGACTGCTGTTTCTGACCCGGCATTTGTTTACTCCCAAGAAAGCACTTAGTGCAGAGGACTGGCCAAAGACCACTGAAATCAATGGAAAGGCTACCAGTGACTTTGATGGAATAGGGACTGGGTTTTCAGCATAACACTAATGAATTAATTGACTCATTACAAAGTCTGAATTTGTCTTTGACAGATGTAAAGCAGTACATTAAACAAATTGCAGACATTTTAACCCCACCCTTTCACTCCCAGGAATTCAGACTCTTTTTTCTGTTAGCTCTGTTAAGGAGCCCCAGCACTTGCACAAGAAAAATGAATGACTGAAGTACATATAATTCTTTGTACTTACAAGTATCTGGTTTGAGCTGACTGTTGGTAATTCCAAAGTACTGGGGATTTTCAATGACAGGAATCTTTGTCATCCCAATGATGACCGCATCAGGACCTCCCTCAGAAGAGGACGGAGTGTTACTGCCATTTGAGATGTGATGGAGAGGACTGGCTGAATCATCGTCATTGCTGATAACTGAAGAAGGACCTAGAGTTAGAAAAAAAGATTTGCTTTAACTCAGCACGTTTCCTTTCCCTCAGACCATTCTTTTTTATTTCCTTTTGTCAACAGTTTAACCTCTATTCTGATAGTCAAACACCCTCTTTATGTGCTTTGGTGATCTGACCTCATGAATTTTATACGTCTGGGTGGAGATGTACAAATGGTAGGCCATTAGGAGTTGGAATGTGAATCAAATTTTTGCACTGGTAGACCACCTAGACTAAATATGTTCAGCATACTGTATCACTGGGAAAGTTCTCCAAATCTGATGAACACCTTCTATCATTCTCTGAAATACACGCATTAACTTTTTCAACTTAAGCTCTTCTCAGTTTACCCAGCAGTAATGCCTTTGTCACTGACTTTGGGAAATGCCTGTCTTCTCTTTGATGTGGTATTAAAACAAGAAAAAAAAACAGATGGGAGATGGACTCATCCTGATGAGGGAAGTTGTGTCATTTCTGAAAAGCAAAATGGCTGAGGGTTAAAACTGAGTGGACAACGTTGACAGTCAAAGAAGCCACAGGTCACATGCCCAAAGTAATAGAAAAGACATATCACATCCCACTGTGAAATACGGAGCCACTGCACTCTGGCTTCTCCTGACCAGAACATTGTTCTGGCTCTTTCAGCCCATCCGTACATGAGACTAGTCACCTTCCAGGAAGAGGCTTATTTTGGTCAGTAATTTATTGACAGTTTTGTTTCATTTTCACTTTGTGATTTATGTGCCGTGGAGATAAAAGCTTATAACTACTTGAAAAAAATGCCTAGCAGTGTTCCACTTGTGTAAGCCACTGGGACTTCTGATCTAACAGCAAGATCAGTGCAGATACCATTTGAACTCTTGTGATCTAACCCTGCTATCTAAATTCTCCATTACAACTTCCAATTTACTGTCAGTATTCTAAGAAAACCAGTAACCAACTAGCAGTAAGAATATTTTGTCTAACCAGACAACTGAAGAGCCGGTAGAGATCAAGAACTTCACATTTCAGATAATTCTCCATCCAAATTAACCGGTGATTTTGAGGAGGCATTCACATCATCTAATGCGAGCAATCAATAGATGATGCTAGAAACAGAATGATTCACTCTCTTGATGTGCCTATCCTGGGAGGACATCCTCAGAAGACACCTTTGTTTGCATCTACTCTCCCTGCTTAAAGAAGGGAGTAGCAGAGAGGAGAGTGGGGAAGACTAACAGATGTGTTTACCCTGGGACATGAATCGCCCCTTATCAAAGTGTCCCAAACTGGGTTTTAGGTTAGACAGAACAGTGCAGAGGCACAAAAGATATAAGCACCCCAGCACAAAGATGGCATCTGTGTCAGGGGGAGGGATGAAGGATACAGAAACAGAGAGATTGGGAACCAACAGCAGGTCCTGTAGACCCATCACAGAGGATCTGAGAGAAGATGAGAAGGATTTACCACAGCACAGACACAAATAAGGAGCAAGAGCAGGCCCAGGTACATCAGCCTAGAAAAATCAGCTTTAAAGAAAGGAAATTTAGCCTCTTGTAATGTTTTGTGGTGCACTATATCATAACAAAAACACTTTATCATTTCATGGTATGGCTCATAGGAATAAAATAATTTGGCATGTGGCTATTCAATCCTCGCTTTAGAGATGTGAGCATACTCCCATCCCCGTCCTGCTTTCCTTTCTCCCCAGTTGGCTTAATGGTTCATGAGGGAAATGTTCTCATAGTTTGAAAAAGTATTTCCCTCCCTCTAGCCTGAAACATTAGAGGTAATTTTTCAAATGCCTTGCACTTCACTGGAAAGTCATTGTTGACAAATGTAAGTGAAGCCTAGATCTCTGCAATTTATCAAGTGAAATACTAATACCAAGGCTGTTTTTGTCATTACCGATCACTGAGATTGATTCTACTAGGAAAGCTGCCAGGATTAAGAGTTTTTGGTGAAGATTTCTCTAATGAACTGCAGAGCCTAGCAAACTGTGGGAAATGGTCCCTCAGAAGACACACGAGATACTTATGCATAGTAACAACGTATTTTTCAGGTGTGTGAGTTGTGTGTAGTGGAATAGAGTACAAACACATTTAAAACTGTATGCAATTTTTTTGTTGAGATTGTCCTAAGGACTCTCAAATATCTGAATGTCAAGCTAATGGCACCAAAAAGCAAGCAGGCAAATACAAATTGTCTTGAGAAAATGCAGGGATCTAACAGAGATCTTGTATGAGGGTCAAATCCCTTCTCTTACAGCAAATGGACAAATGCTCCAGTCTCTGTAATTTAATAGAGGTGATGGCAAGGAATCACATATTTCTAGATGTTAGAGCAGTATAATGAATAGAATCTCATTCTGTTTGTCATATTATTTCTTCACTACTCTAAGACCCCATTTTGCACAGTGAGCTATTTTTTTTTCAGTCACTGTAAACTGCAAAGTGCTGCAGGTGGAAAGTAGCCAATTGTTCTATAAATCTATTTACTCAATTAAGATAACTGCTATAAAATTGTCATCCTTGTGATGTGAAGGTGGTTCCAAGTGTATTAGACTCTCTGATGTAGATGAGGAAAACCTGGAAAACTAGATGATTCCTCCACAGTAGGAAACAGTTTAAGAAAAAGTAAAATGTAGGAAATTTGTGCTGTGTCATTCATTGTCCACTGTCATTTATTAGTAACGAATTAGCTCATGCAATTGTCTTTGGAAACAGTTGTTTGGATTAAAAAATCCTATTTCCTTTTACTGTATATTTCTTCCAGTTAAGCCAAATGCAACACAGCCAGTGGAAATTTTTGTCTACCAGAGGCAGTTGAGCTCAGATGCTTTTAAAAAGGTTTTTTTTTGTTAGAATCTTTTAGAGGATATGAGCAAACTGACAGACAAACTGTGTCAATACTTGCATATCTGCCAGACTGACCACTTGCTGTGAAGATGCATTTCATTTTTTGAATGTATTAAGTCACATAACAATTACAGATCAGCACTGCAGCTCACTTCTCACAGCAGCAGCCTATGACTGATATTCCAGTAATGCAAAGCCATTTTCCTGGATGAAGCAAGATGAGACCATCATCTGTGCTGACGAGAAACTAGAATTGCCCTTTTCTGAATTTGCACTGAGCTCAAATCAAAGGATAATTTCTTAAAGTACCTTAAAGTATCCTTTCATGAAGATTAAACGGGGACGCTTCATTATTTGTTAAAGGCAGAATGAGTATGACAATTACCTGCAGTCTCCTATTATTGATTCTGTTTTTTATCAAATCTGCTGTTGGTTTCACATCCAAAACCCGGAAATGTTAGACAAAACGTCTTTGGTGGAAGTTAAAATGATGGGTTATGAGTAGTCATTAGTTACTGCCAATAGCTGCCTCATAGTCAGCTTGAGCTTTTAGGGAAACTGCAGAGGTTTTCTCTGCCTTCACTATGCTGCCCAACATCTTCCTTGTTACCATTTTTTGACTGCATTTCTTGTTTTAAGAAGTTGGAGCCAGATGAGAAATGGTAGGCTGCCCTAGAGAAGAAAGATGAGAGCTACACATTGCAGAGCTGAATTTCTCCACTCTGGTGCTGAGCTAAGAAACTGTCCATACTGCACAGCCTAGGCTCAAGAAAAGTCCCTCTGTGTAGAAAAAAAGCAGCTATCAGAAAAAGTGGTGACAAGTAAGAAAACCAATTATATTCTAAATTGACAAGCTATAGAAAATCCAAAACACTCCTCATATCCCTAGGCTGTGAATGATCCTAAGACATGGCATAGGGATAAGCAGGAACAGCAGGCAACTCTTCCTGCATGCCCTGCATACAACTGGAGACAATCACACACTATGGGGGAAGGGAGGTCTTGTTTTATCAGCACTAGTGACAGCACAGGGCACCCTCCATGAACAACTCATCTCTGCATCTCTGTGCTGTTTCTTCAACAGTTTCTCCACACTGCCTTTGACTTACCTCATGCCAACAAATATCAATTTAGAAACAAAATTTAATACTAATAATGATTTTCAAAGCATGCTGTTATTTCTGGCCAAAAGAAAAAGTTTCATGATCATAAAATACATCCTTTCATTCTACTCCTGTGCCATCAAGAGGTAATGCAGTTCAAGCATGTATGCTCCCAACACATATCTACACTGTTATTTGCTGGGGCTGGGTTTTGCTTCACACTATTCCAGACTTCAGCATGTACTTAAGAAGTTTGCTGTGGCAACACATCTGACTACAGACTGCCACTGAAATAATCCACATGACCTTCTTGTGTGTGAAATTACGGAAAGAGCCCTATTGTGAATAATAGCATGAGCCAGCCAAGCAAGCTCAAAAATAAAAATGAGAGGTTCTCAAAGGCAGAATTGGAAAGAACACATGGTTTTGGTTTGCATCTAGCATGACTTTGTAAACACATATTCTCAGACTTCAGTTTAGATGGTCAAAAAGTGATCACTGTGTCTCCCTTCTCCTCCTTTCACCTACTGTGTCAAAGATATCAGCAATTTACCTCACGTGTCTTTGCTCCATAAACTCTAACAAGATCTCTTGAAGAATTCAATATCCTGAAACTCCCTCACAACACACTTGTTACACATCACTTGAATTATCCCTGAAGTCACTACTGATGTCTCAGCCATGCTGAAAGTCATAATTACCAAAAAACAGCCTATTTTAGCACTGTGACAGGAGCTGTTTAGTTATGGGCACACATATGCTTAATCAAGTAAGAAGGCAGCTCAGATAAAGAGGATTATTTATATAGCTGACTTTTGTGCCATGATGTCTTATTAACTGTGGCTCCTTCAATGAAAAATGACACTGCTAGCCAGAAAGATTTCCCAGTTGATCTTGCACTAGCATAAGCTCTTCTTAGAGTCCACGCAGGGACATACAATAATGACACACCACAAGTCAAAAGTGGGACAGTAAATACGTATCACATCAGTCAGCATCACCTCTGCTAGATTTTAAGGCCATAATGAATCTTCTCTCTTCTCTCCTTTTGGGAGATG